TTCACAGAGGGACACCGGAGGCCTGAGGGAGACAGGCAAGAGACCTTTTCTCCTTACAGAACCAACGGGACCCTGGGTTGGTGTTCTGGCCTTTCTCCTGGAAATCTGGTGATGGTGGTAACTGTGGTTTCCGAAAGTGTCACCTACACCACAGTGATGCCTATGTTGGGGCTGACCCCTGGCTGGGAGATTGACAGTGACTGTCTGGAGGGAGGCCACAGGTGCCTGCTTTCCTGAATGCAAGGGCTCTTGTAACTCAGCAGGACTTTTTTCAGGGACCCAGGGGGGTCTCTGTACTCTGCAAAGGTGGTCTCTGTACCCAGTGTTGTGATAGCTCAGGTGAAATGGTTTCATCTCCTTTCACCTGAACTGTCCTTTGGAGCCCAGAGACTCTCCCTCGACCAGACCCTGAAGGCTCCACGAGGATTCCCCTGAAGAGCTAAGCCTGGCCTGCCATGCTGCTGGCTGGGGATCCTGTCCTCCATCCCTCGAAGTCAGTGGTTCTCAACCTTCCTCATGCCATGACCCTCCAATACAGTTCCTCATGGTGTGGTGACCCCCCCCAACCATAAAATTATTTTCCTTGCTATTCATCACTGTCATTTTGCTACTGCTATGAATCGGGCGACCCCTGTGAAAGGGTCGTTCAACCCCCAAAGGAATTGTGACCTATAGGTTGAGAACCACTGCTCTAGTGAATCTGATGTTTTGCTAGTTTGCCAGTCCTGAGTCTGCTGTTTTGACTCCGTGGTGGGCATGGTAAGCTCTACCTAGATCTTCTCCAGGAAGGCACAAAGAAGCTGATATTTCTACACTCATTTTCAGGGCTACGTGCAGAGGAGAAGGGACTGTCTGTGAACTGAGTCCAACCACCGCAAGAATTTGGGGATTCCAGCTTCTATCTCTTGCCTTGCGCTCCCTCCCATAGACCACTGCTTACTCCCATTTTCATGGGCCTCCATTGTTCCCCCTGGGAAAACATCTCGGAATGCGGAATGCTGGCCGGAGAGCCTCATTCTGCTCCGCAAGTCAGCCTGTGGATGGCATAGCCCTCGTCTCAGGGTTTCATGATCTGAAAAATGGACGTAATCCTTGCTCCAGGGGCATACTCTAAAACCCAAGTAGCTCGAATAACAACATGAAAGATGGACAAAAACATATCAGTGATCATGCAGATGACACAGGAGTGTTGTGATTTTGTTCTGTTAAACAAAAGCCGGCCCAGCAGCAACTAACAACAACAGCAGAGCAGTCCGAGCCCCTTCAAGGGGAAACAGGAGGGGCTTCAAAATGTTCATGAAAAAGACTCCATTATCTCTCCATCCCTTTTTGAAGCCCCCTCGTCACCTAGATGTAAATATATCTGAAAACTTTTGGGGGGTACCAAAAGTAGTTAGGGTTCCTCTGCATTCCCCTCTGATCTAATAACTTATCAGAGAAGAGTGAGGAGATGGTGGTATGGCTTCGCATTCTGGGTAATTGTGTTTTCCTAAATTAGGAATACTTACCAATTCTGCTTATCCCAGAAATGGAGGGGCTGAGTGAACAGATTAGAGGCAGAAGGAGGCAGATAGAGAGAAGTCCAGGAGGTGGAGCCGGTGACTCAAGGCCTACACAGAGGGAGCCACTCTGAGCAGGACTTAGCTCCATGTAGGCCAGGGTGGGGGCTCTGGGTAGCTCGGAGCCAAAACAACCAGGCTGGTTGGTGAGGGCTCCTCCCATTAGGGGCCCAGGTGCGCTCTAAGTCACAGGTGGCATCAGCAGGTGTGCTATAAGTGACATTGCGGGAGTCCTGCCATCTGACACATGGGGGTTCGTGGAAAGCACACTAGGCTGTGAGCCCACAGACCTTGCTTTCAGCCCGTCTGCCAGTAATGAGCAGATCGCATCCCTTCTCCAGGCCCCGGTTCTCTCCATTGCAAAACGAAGAGGTTCTTAGGTTAATTGCCCAGTCCCCTCTATGCCGAATTTTCTCAGCCTCACCTTGGCGGCATAGTGGTTATGCGATGGGCTGACATCCGCAAGGTCAGCAGTTCAAAACCACTAGTCACTCCATGGGAGAGAGATGGCAATTTCTACTCCCAGGAAGAGTTACAGTCTCAGAAACTCACAGGGGCAGTTTTCCCCTCTCCTACAGGGTCGCAGTGAGTCAGAAGCAGCTCAATGGCAGTGTGTTGTTGTTGTCAGAGCTAAGAACTCCTGTGTGGCAGATGGTGTTCTTGTTCAGCAAGTGCTGGTGCTCCCCGGGTGCACTCTCCACCTGGGGAATAGCAGTCTCCTCCACCCCTTCTCCGTTGACCTTGGCCAACAGACTGTAGGCAAAGGACCATGTGCCAATTCTGGGCAGAGTCTCTGAGAGGCTCTACTGCAGGGGTTCTCAACCTTCCTAATGCCTTGTGGTAGTCACCTAATCTGATGTCAATTTAAGGATTAAGAGTGTAGGAGTGGAGTCTAGGCTGTCAATCTGGAGATGGCCCAGGAGACTTCTGTGGGCATGGCCTTCTCCTGAGAATTCTGGGAAATCTGGGACTTCCTTCTTGGAGGCGGAAGACACTTCTCTCTCTCTCTCTGCTATTCCCTGGGAGACATTTGCAGAAGACAAGCCACATGGACACAACCAGACCTTGGAAGCCAGAGAAGCCACAGAGAGACCCCTGCCAGCGCTGAGATGTTTCCAATGACACTGGATCTAAAGACTTCCCACCCACTGGCCTGTGATTTTCTGCATTCGGCGTCATTGCATGTGTTTCGTGAGTCTGAAGAGGACTTTATAGATTGATATAGGAAATATGGGCTAATATCGGACTTATGGACTTGATCTGGACTGGGTTGGTATGTTTTCTCAATGTTCTTGTATATAAATCTCTTTCTTATACACATATGTATATCCATGGATTTGTTTCTCTAGTCTACCCAGACTAACACATGCCTCGACCCTTTACTACAGTTCCTCATGTTGTGGTGACCCCCTCAACCATAAAATTATTTCTGTTGCTACCTCATAACTGTAATTTTGCTACTGTGATGAATTGGGCGACCCTTGTGAAAGAGCGTTTGACACCCCCCCCACACACACAAGGAGTCCTGACCCACAGGTTGAGAACCACTGCTTTACAGCTTTCCAAAGCCCTCTCCTGCTCATGCTTGCCGCTGGGAGAAGGGCACACCTCGGTCATTCTCACTCCTTTAGGCTTGGTCCCATCACAAGGAGACGCTCAGACCAGGCCTGGAACCCAAACCGCTGTCAGAAGCTGGGCCCCGCCAAGTGCAGCAGCGTCACAGCCAGCTGGCAGACCCGGGAACGGGAAGGGATGGCAGGCACCGCGGCTCCGGAATCTTTCGTTATTGCAGCCAAAGCTGTCTCATACACCACAGGTCAGGAAGCCGGCCTCACAGACGGGCACACCAGGGCAGATCGATAGCTGGCTCCACTGAAGGAGAATCAAGGGCAGTGAGAGGGGCCCCAACAGGAAAGCCCCTCCGCTGCTTCTCGCCTCCGTGCCAGAGCTGTAGACTGCCATATGGAGACACACCTGGGATTTGGCATCGGCCCCCTGGCCTCGGCAGGGGCAGGAAGGGTGTTGGTGAGAGAGTGAACTCAATGAGAAGGCCTCAATGTCAGCTCTCTCGTGCATATGTCCACTGAGCCTGCGCGGCCTGTTCCCTCAGGACTAAGGTGCTATCGTTAAAAGTCAGCCACCCAGAGGGGCAAAAGCTTAAACAAGTTCGCGAATTCTGCCATCACTGGTGTCTGGCTGCTGTGACCAAAAACAAGCAAACAAACAAAAGCCAATGCACTGCCCTTGAGTCGACTCTGACTCACAGCAACCCTGCAGGACAGACTCCAGCTGTCGCTGTGGGTTTCTGAGATGAACTCTTTATACGAGTAGAAAGCCTCATCTTTCTTCAGCAGAGCAGCTGGTGGTTTTGAACTGTTGGTCTTGTGGTTAGCAGCATGATTTGTAACCCACTACACCATCAGGGCTCCCAGACAAATCTCTAGGCATCTCTGATTCCCATTACAATTCCCATTACAAAATTCACATCAACGCCACGCCAGCCAAACTCTGCTAAAGAGAGCAGTATAGCACGTTTGTGCTAAGACACAAACTAATGCCCAGAGAAGATGGCTGGGATGCTCATGCTCTTGGTCCGGATGCATTGGGAAGGAGCCCAGAGGTCCAGGTTAGGATGTGTGCCCAGTGCTTAAGCACGCTTTGTTTTCCTTAGAGAAAGCCAGGCCCATCCCCCCATGGTCAGCTAGCTGGACCAGGCCTTCTGAGGGAATGGCTACCTCACCTGCGGAAACAAAAGCCAGTTCAGCCAGGCCTCCTCGCACCCACATGGTCAGAGAGGGAAATCAAGGGTGGGATGAAGGAAGGAGGAAGACCCAAAGCCATGGGCTTCCAACGCTTTCTTCAAACCACCCACGCAGCATCTTACCTGGAACAAATGTGCATGTCAAGAGATAATAATAGAGAAGTTAAGGGGAAGCACAGGCTCATGCGGCACCCCACTGTGCACTGCCAAACTCTGCACGGGACCCCAGGACTAACCTCGGTGTGAAGGCCACTAGACCAGAGAAGTCTTGGGCACTGGAGTGGGTGGATGAAAAGCTAAGGCAAAAAGAAGAAAGGCCAGGGGTCATCCTGGCCACTGCTGGCAGTTTGCTCTGGGAGGACTGATTTAGCTGTAGCCCTGCACGGGACCACCACGGAGGGGTGTCCTTCCACACTCTACTGAGATAAACAGATCGAACGGTAACCTTCTCCAATCTCCTTATGCTTATCTTCAACTGGCCAACAGGGAGTCAGATTTGCTTGCGAGAAGCTCAGCATTTCCTTCTTTGTCCTCCCTCACTCCCCACCCCTCAAATCCAAGTCACCCATCCCATTTCCGTGTGGCCCAGGGGGCCGAAGGGGTGGGGGGTACTAAAGGATTTGTTCAGCTCACCAAGGCATGGCTCCCCACTCTCCATGGAAACCAGACCCCAGACCCACCTATGCACACCACGTCCATGAAGCCGTACATCCCGTAGCAGATCTGGAAGAGGAGATCTTGGCGCTGCCACTTTGCCGAGGGGCTGAAGGTGGACCAGATGAGCCAAGAGATGCTGGCGATGAGGAAGAGAGAACCCAAGATGGCGGCCGCAATCTGCACCTTCTCAATGACTGTCAGAGAGATGGACTGCCACTGGGGAGAAAGGAACGGCAGGTGAGTGGTTGCATGGATGTCCCCACCCCAAGCCCACCCCCATCCCACTTCTTCTTGCCACTCCAACTTTTCACATCCGGGTTAGAATTTAACCCAGGTCTGTCAAGCTGGTAACACAAAGGACGTTTTTTGCTGGTGTGTAAGTTTTCCATTGTACCGCTGGGTCAGAGGTCATCGTAGGGAATAGGTCCCAGGCAGGCAGGGTTGGGAAGACTTTTAGACTCCATTATGAAACAGACAGAGAAATGGGAGGGACAGAGAGAAAATGCGGAGCTAATGTGGCTGGTGTTCCAGGACTCCAGAATATTCTTTCCTGACAAACAGTGTGCATTCTAATATTCACGTGTGCTGAGAGGCTACCAGTCTTTCTTTCCCTTGTTTTTGACAGACAACCCCTGGCACACCACTTAATCTACCAATCCAATAGACCAGGAAGGGACGCAGGGTGTGGGGAGAGATAAGAAAAGCAGTATATCATTTACTGGATTTATACAAACAATGAGATTTCATTTTTTTAAGCGACAGAAAAACACTGTACAAACAGCGCCGGTGGATGGGTTGAAGGCTGATGAATGGATGAGACCCCAATCTGAAATTCTATGATCCTATGGCTGGCCCGGGAAGCCCGGACTTAAATGAATCTGAGATTGGACTCTACTTGGGGTTTATCCATGTATTCTCTCAACAACCGTGCATTGAATAGTCTGTCTATGCTGGACGTAGTGCTGGTTTCTGGAGGGAAAGCAATAAACAAAAAGCAGACAAAGCCCCTACCTGAATAGAGGGTACAACCTGGGAGGAACACTGACAACCAAATCAGGATTCATTAGAGGGAAGAAAGGGGCGTTGTGACACTGAGGAAGTCCGTGAGAGCGGGCTTGACTTCCTAGCCCAGGGACGCTAGAACTGAGAGCTGAAGGATGTATACGTAAGAGCTTACGAGGCAAAGTGATGACAGAAAGGGGGCTTCCGGCAGAGAGAACAGCATATGCAAAGGCCCTGTGGCAGGAGGAAGCGTGGTGAATGGTAAAACCCAGGGGAAGACAAGAGTGGGTAGAGCAGAGCAGGCAAAAGGGAGCTTGGGGTAAGACAGCTGGAAAGCTGAGAGCGCAGACAATCAGGAGCCTTGAAGAATACACAGGGAGGGGGTTATATGGAGGTCCTTGAGATCGGTTTCCCCTTTCTACCCCACCTCCCCTCCACCCTCCCGGTATCACCACTCTCACCACTGTATCCCGGCTTGCTGATGCATGAACCATTTCCATGGCTCCGTGGCTTTTCAGCGACTTTCCGGAAGTGTACCATCAGTCAAGCCCTATCCTGGTTCATTTGCTCTGTCTCTGTCTCCCTCTTTCTGGCCTGCACGCACATAGACACACTCAGCTCTGGAGATGTTTGCCTCCCCTCCATTCAGAGACTCTGCCCTAGCACTATGTCGCCCCCCCTCCCCCCCAGGCTGTCTTGACAACTGCCACCAGCTGAAGTGCCTGCCTCATCATCAAGGGACTGGTAGGGCTGTGGGTTAGCGACTGGGCTGTTAGGTGCGAGGTAGGTGGTTCAGATCCACCAGCAGCTCTGTCGAATGATGAGGTGGGCTGCTCTTGGAAAGCGCGACGATTTGGGGAACCTTGTATAGGGTCACTATGAGTAGCAATCCACTGGATGGCAGACGTTTGGGGAGTGTCTTATGGGTTTACATTTTGGGGGGCTTTTTTGGTAATTGGCTAATTTTACATATGCGGAGGTACAGAGGTGTGTGTGTGTGTGTGTGTGTGTGTTTATACACTTGCTTTACAGGGGAAGCTGTATAGTTTGGAGAGATTGGCGAGAGTGGTGCTGGGGGTGACAGGGCAAAGGGAACCCCGAGTCCCAGCAGATCCAGCCCCATCTGCATCTGTGAGGCAGACAGTGTGACTCTCCCGGCCTGGCCCCCCTTCCAGCCATCATTCCCACCCTCTCCGCTCTGCCGTCCTCTCATCTCTCTCTCTGTCTCCTGCCACATTCAGATGGTGACCTAGGGATGGACCAGCATCAGGTGCATTCCAGCAGCTTCTTTGAAAGGCAGGGGTCTCAAGATCTATACCTTGTCCCATGGCCCGGAGTCCACTGCGGTTCAGTGACCCTACAGGGCTGGGTAGGATGTCCCCCCTGCACTCACAAGGTCTCCAAGACTACATCTTCGGGAAAGCAGACTGCTGGCCACGTTGCTCAGAAAACCACTGGCCTTCAGATTGGGGCCTCCCGCTTTAACCGCTGCGCCACGAGGGTCCCTCCCCGGAGTGACTTGCGCATTCAAGTTTGAGAAGTACTTTCGGTTATCCTTTCTCCTCTTCCAGCCCTTCCCGTGACCGTCAGAGCTTCTCCCTGGCCCTTCCACCCTCTCTTTTTCCTTAGCCAGCCTCTCCTCTGCCTGTCTACCCTGCCCTCCGCTCCCTTCGGCTTCAAGCCTCCCCCTCGGTAGGGACCTCTCTCACCCGGCCCCATCCCAGTCTCTACAGAGAACAGAAAAGGGTCCCTGCTTCTTTTCCAGGTGGCGGCCCGCCCACCGGCTCCTTCCTTCCCTCTGAACCGCGGGGAATCTAAAGTCAAGAATGGTCCGCACGGGGAAAGCCCCCCAACTCCCTCGCCCCTGCAGCCCCGCGCCCGCTCCCGGCAGCCCGGGGGTACCTGTAGAGGGTTCTTTGTGCTTATGGCGATGACGTGGTACTTGTAGTAGCACAGCTCGCAGCTCCAGCAGCCGCGCTCGCTGATCCACTTGATGAGGCACGGCTGGTGCGTGCACTTGACCGACCCGTCGCAGCGGCACGGGCTCAGCAGCTCGCCCTGCGGAGAGAGAGCAGGGGCGGTGAGGCCAGGCGCCCGAGGCTGTGGGTGGGGCAGCACCTGGAACCCAGTCGGTTAAACCCGCACCCCCCACCACCACCCCGCCCACGGCCGCGTCCCGAGCCTCGAAGGGGGCGCACCATGCCCGCCCCCCCCCCCCCGGGACGTGGGTTCCAGCTGAATCCAACAGCCCCACTTCTGAACCCCAAGCTCCCTCGCTGTAAGCTCAGGGCAGCTTTTCCTGAGCTGCCCGCATCCTGGGGTGTCTGTAGAAACGAGCGAGATTTCTTCGTGGAAAACTTTGGTAGTGGGCTACCGAGTTGGCCAGGGGGTATCAGCTAAGAGAGGCAGTAGAGCCGAGCGTAGCGAACACATCCCTGGTTAAAGAGGGCAGCCGCCAGCTCCAGTTTGCTGTGGAACCCTAACCAGAACCCAAACCAGCCAGACTCAGCCGATGGCGACTCCTATCCACCCGATGAGACCCGGTAGAACTGCCCTGGTGCGTTTCTTCCACGGAGCTGGCTGGTGATTTTGAACTGTTGACCTTGGGGAATCAAAGCCCGACCAGCCTTAGGCAGTATGTTTTCTAGACACAGGACCAGGATGCAAATACAGTAAACCCAGGTACTCAACCGCATCAGTACCCAACTCAATCAGATTTCAACACGAAATGTCGAGAAAATTTTGCATTGGAGCGCAAACAAAATATCAGAATCCAACCCGACGCACGTGACTTTGTAAACAAAAGCAGTTCGTGTTTTTGTTACTCGGCATTGGCTGGCATTGTTAGTGCGCTGTTTAATCCATTTGCGGCTGTGTTCCAAGCGTTTTGCTATAATTTTCTTAGTTTTTGTACTGTTTTTAGATTAAAAAAAAATTGGTCCGAAGAAAGTTTTTGAAAAGAATGATCATTATAAGGAACTGGTAACCGTGTTAGTGATATTGTTGATGAGACTTTAGTAAACCGTATTAGAAAACAGTTAAGGAAACAGCAGACCACATTAGACAGATTTTTTTTGAGAAATCCAGCCAGGTCCTAGTGAAAAAAGGCAAAGAAGGTGGGGGGGAACTCCTGAAAAGCAACTACTAGTTGATTTTTATGGGAGGGGATTCCCCTTCCAAACCTCCATACCTCCTCTCTACATCAGCGTCCACAGAAACAGATCCTCAGTAATCTCAAGGTATGGGCCATACTGAAGTTGTTAAAAACTTTTAAAATGTGTGTTTCTTATTTAAATTATAATATTGAACTCTGAACTTATTTACTTTGAAATTCCTGTGTAATGTTTAGTTTAAAAAAAAGGCTAGGGTGAAAACATGGTGATCAAGAACGATTAATCCATTTTCAGTTATTTCTTATGGGAAAATTTGATTCGAAACTCGACTGCATTGCGTCTCGACGCTAACATTGATTCGGATCTCCGCTGCATTGCATCTCGGCACTCCTAGAATGGATTAGGGACGAGGTCCTGGGTTCTACTGTGTCAGCAATGAACTCAGGTGGGGTGAATGTAACCACAGGCCCTGGGAGCGGTGGTCCCACGCTTTTGTGGTCTTCTGCAGGCAGGTCTGTGAACAGACACTCGGATCCCCTCTGGGGAGCCTGCCACCCCAGGACCCAGCCTGCTAGTGGGGGGCTGGGAAGCAGCAGGCTGAGCGAGCCTGGAGACCTGGAAGACCTGGACAGACATCTCAGTGAAGCCCGCCCTCCAGCCTGGAGCCCAGCTGGGCGTGACTGGGAAGGCCTGCCCAGGACGTGGACATGGGGCAGCAAAGGCCTTGACTGAGGGTGGTGTGTTGGCATTCAAAGCCTTTGTGAGTGAATGGTGAGGTGGGCTCATTCTCCAGAAGACCCTGACGGAAGTTGACTGCCTCACTGAGCCTGCCTTCCCCTCCTAACTCAGGGCCCAACTCACATAGGCTGACACTTCAACTAAGCCGCCCCCACCCCTGCACCCTTCTGACCTCACTCATGGCTGTCTCCTCCAACTCTAGGCATCCTTCTGTGTCTCCCCCACCCTGGAAAGAGACCCAAGGGACACCATGCACAGCTCCAGCCTCTCCAACGCTGCTGTGTTGGAGAAATGGCCATTGAGTTACAAAGGCCTGCTAATTTGGGGGTTTTCCCTTTCAGGGAGCCCCTCCTTGTTTCCAACATCAAATAAGCAGGCTCAGGAGCTCCTGCCCTGTGGGTGACAAGTCCATCTTGTTGAGGGTCTTCCTTTTTCTCACTGAGCCACTATTTTACCAAGCATGAAGTCTTTTTTTTACCAGGGATTGTTGTATGGGCTAATTAGCCGTTATATTCCTTCTCTCTGGATACATCAATCTATCTATATCTGTCTGTCTGTCTATCTATCTATCTATCTATCTATCTATCTATCTATCTATCTATCTAAGACGTACTGCCTTGAAAAACCCTGAGGGGGAACGTTCTCCCCTGTCCTATAGACTCAGGACCAACTCAGCAGCAACAGGTTTTGGCTTTCTGTGTTTTCTGTTTCCTCTTTTTCTTTCTCTCCCCGTCCAACTGCTGCTGTGACTTCCAGATGGCTCCAGTGCTCCTCCTCCCTGACTTGTCCAGGTTGAACTCTGTTTCCCTCGCTCAGTGAGTGCCTGGTGCTGAGTTAGAACCCGCACACCTCATTGTTAAGGGCTTGTTCTAGTGCCTGTCGGCCCCAGCAGAGGAGGCCTGGAAGGCAGGAGTGAGGTGGGAGTTGCCTTTATACTCTTTCCCCAGTGCCTACCCAAAATCACACAACACGCATTTTGGGTTTGAATCATGTATGGATTGAAAGGTACACACCACCACCACCACCACCACCACCACCACCACCACCACCAAATATACTGAAGTTTTTATCCCTGACCCAGTGGGTGTTATCTGTGGCCCAGAACATACATGTTTATTAATGAGGCCCTATCACAGTTGAAGGGGTTCTAAGCTGAATCACTTTCTGGGTTATAAAACTAGCAGAATTCTCTCTCTCTCTCTCTCTCTCTCTCTCTCTCTCTCTCTCTCTCACACACACACACACACACACACTTCCATGTGGGGTGGAGGGGCGGGAGACACCAAATGAAGTCAGACAACAGCACAGATGGATCTATAAGCTCCTAAACACCAAGAATTGCTGGAAGCCCACGCCTCCACCCTCCCTCTGGGCTGCTCCCAGGCTGGCCAAGTGGAGGTCTCCTCTGGCCTCAGGCCTCCACGTGCGGGGGAGAAATGCCCTGAGCGTGCCTGTGTAAAACCTGAAACTCCTATCCTTTATAAAAACTCACTTGGATCACAAACCAGACTTCAGAGTGAATTCTTTTCTCCCACGAAGCCAAGGACCGAGGCATTTCCACCTGAGAAACCTAACATATAGTCTAGTTCTGTGACTCACCTTGCGTCTTTTCAGCCCTCTGCTGGGAGGTGTGGATCACGGTATTGGGTGACCCCATTGGCTGAATTAAGCTCACCTGGCCCAGATTGGGGCCCTCCCAGATGTACCGCCTCTTCCTGGCTCAGAGACTGAATGTGGCGCATGCCCAGTGGACACCCTGGTCCCTGTTCTGACTACCTAGCAGTTCTTAAAAGTCACCTACTGTGGCATGTTCTCTCACAGCAGCCCTCGGTAGCTAAGACGAGTAAGGAAATGAAAAACCTAGTGGCCACTCAGGTTCCTTGCCTTTAGGGTCCCTGTCATGACCTGAAGGGACAGGTTGAACCTGGCTATTCCACAGGAAGAGGAGCCTTGACCATCCTCCTGACCTTGGGCCCCAGCTCCTCCCTCGGAGTCTGGCACTAGTAAATGTGTGTGTGTGTGATGAAGGAGCCTGGCGTGTAAGTGTTCAGACCCTCGCCCCAACACCTCGTCCTCGGGAACCCTCCAAGCTCCTCTACCTGCTCCTCCAGTGGTGCCTCCAAGTCCTCCCCCAGGCCCCCCACCTTTGTCCCAGAATCCCTACACCCAGGCCCCTCACATAGGCAATCTCATACCCATCTTTATATCCCTCGTGCCTGCTACAGTGTCTGGTGGTACAGCAAGACCCTCAGGCCAGCACTGGTGACCAAATGCCTACATTCTTTGATAAATAAGAGACTTTGCTCCTCCATCCAGCCTGGGAGGCTTTTGGGAAGGCTAGGGCTGCTCACAGGGCACTGGGTGCTCCCGGAACCCAGCAAGGCCTGTCTGGAGCCCTTGGGTGTGGAGTAGCAACTGTGCTGCTCTAAGACAGGCAGAAGAGGGGGCAAGAGGGGCGGGGCCCAGGAGAGGAGGTGATGGAAAGGCAGAAAGCCCTTATTATTCAAAGCAGCATTTCCTAGGCTCATTAATTCTAATAGGATGAGCTGGGTTTGATTAATCGGGTTGTTAAGCAGCCGTGTCAAATTGCCGATCAGGTAGGAGACCTTACTTCCGGTCCCTGGCAACCATAGTGAGTGACAGCAAGGGCTCAGCTCCCTGCTAGCCCATCAGGAACCTCGAGGCAGGCAGCCGCATCCACAAGCACCACGGATAGGGGCAGAGCTGTCCTAAGACCCAGGCTCTGCCTTTGGCTCTGAATGGGCTGTGGGACCAGCCCTGGGTCAGGGGAGCCCTCAAGCCTCAACAGGCAAGCTGAGAAAGGGCCCTGGCCTGGTCTGAGGCCTGGTCGTTCCTGGAGCCCCCTGGATCCTGGGGCTGGACACAGCAACAAATCTCAAAACAACAAACCACCTCACTGCCATGATGTAGATCCCTCCTCTCTACAGGAGCAGAAAGCTTCATCTTTCTCCCATGGGTTCAAACTGGTGACCTTGTGGTTAGCAGCCCAATGCATAACCCCCTAGGCTACCAGGGCTCCTATTAGCAAGTAAACTGTTAGAAAGGGTGATCTCGTGGATCACAGCCCAACTCATAACCACTCGAGGCTTGTCAGAAAGGTTGATGTTTCAGGAAGAAAGATATTTAGAATTTTAGAGCGGGTAAAACCAGAAAGGAGCGATTTGAACTTTAGGTTTTGTGTAAACT